GAGAATTTCCGAACCCTGATAGCTGGCCGTGTGAAAAGCATGAAATTTCCAGATTTACACCACACACATTGCGCGACCAAAGATAACATGATACGAAACTCTTTCTCTCGTGAGAGGGCTGTGAAAAGGTGCATTTTTATAACATCCCCCAATGTTGCCACAGCAGTGAAATACATATTGGGAGATTTATTGAGTAAATTTTTGTGAACTTTATTATTTAACAAAACAAGCAAATGTTTTGGAATTTTAATGTCTTCTTCATTATTTAATGTTAACAAATACCATTTAAAATGCGTTTTCTTCAAAACGCTATCTTTAAGCAGGATTTTGTAATGTGATTGCAGGAAATCCATTGAAATTAAATCAGTGCGTTTTGTGCATATATAGTGGCAGCTCTCTATTTTGCTTGTCAGCTGTTCGGTCCAACTTTATTTGACAGTGCTTCCAAGTCAGAAAACAAGTTCAATTTAGATTCTCGGAAGCAAAATGAGAGAGTTTAGAAATTAGTATCCAATTTGGTCTAGTTGTTTTCAAGTTTTAAGCATCCGAACAAACCACGATCCATTTATATATGTATATTAAAGAGTTGCAGAATTAAGGGCTTACTATAATGTGAACAACCTGCCGTAACTGACTGTCAGAAAATGAACGAAAAGTCTGTCAAATACATAAGCAACGTAGTGTAGACATTTAGGTGGCTATATTTTGCTTACGTGTGTTCAGTGTTGCCACATTTTTTTATTTTTTAACCAAATCACCAGAAAAAGTTACCTAATTCAACAAAAAATTACCAAACTTATTTTAAACCAAACTAAAATTTCGGAGCTTTTTAAAATTCACTATTGTCCAGTTATGACCAAAGAACGTAGATAACAAGAAGGGACAACTCGTTATAATTGTAACGAAAGTGAGTAACACGGTCGTGCTTTGGAAAGGGACTCGGTAGATATAACAGTAGCCACTATCAAGCAGTTTGTTGTAGATCACACAATTATAGTAAAATAGAAACGCCGAAGAACTGTTCGCCTTACGAAACTTTCAGGATTAACTGGTATTTCTGTTAAAGGAAACGCTTACGGCCCACTTCCTAATGTGGAACCAGAACTTGTTTTGACCTATGTTACATGTAGGACTGAATCGAAAAGGTTACCAAGTTGAAAAATAAGTTACCAAATTACCAAATTTGATAAACAAAGAAAACAATTACCAATTTCGGCAAAAAATTTCAAAGCGGCAACACTGCATGTGTTACATATGTACATACATACATACGAGTACAACCAGCTGATTCCGTACGGAAGGTGTGACCAGTATCGC